GTGTGTGTGTGTGTACGCGTGTGTGTTCAGGGTTAACAGCAATGGATTTAGGGAGTCTCTACATTGGCAATGTGACGATTACAGATAGAATAGTTCACTTATGGGTGAGCACTTTATAATTCTCACTAGAGACTATTATATCATACTAGCACTGAACAGAGTCAGCAAAACAAACTACTGGACTAGTAAAGCAACAAATGTCATAACAGCACAGATGTGGAAAAATGCATCACATTCTCTGTATTTAAGGCATGTTGGACAAACACAAAAATGTTCTGCAAAAACAGTGTATAAAACTATAATTCAAATATTTAATAATTAATTTAATATTTTTAATATTTAATACTTAAATACATTATTTTGCTTTCACATTTTTCAAATTTTTCCACAAAAATGTCACTACTGTAATGTTTATAGAAGTAAATAAATGTGAATTTTATTGTGTTATTGCCTCATGATAAATCACTTGTTGTTTTCCTAATGTTTTGTAACTATTTTTTGCATAAAAGTGTCTGTTAAACGAATAAATGAATAAAAATAAGCTGTTTACTTGTGAATAAATCCATTAGTAAATAAATAAATACACACATCTCGTTTTCATTACCATAATGCATCTCGAAATATCTGCATCATTTTTATGTTACCTTTAAGAGCTTTTGATTTACTTTTGTTATTCTCATCATTCTCAATGTAATTTTCATTACTGTTGCACAGCAATTTGCATTAAAAAAAATTAAATCAGTATATAATTTTCAACTGAAATACTTAATACAATACTTAATTACACAATAATACAAATATATATCTGAATTGGTGGGCAAGGGGTGAAAAATAGAAAATAAAAATGGTACAAAAATAGGCTCGTTTTTCTTTCCACAAAACATTACATCTTTTTCTTTTTTTTTTTTTTTGCTGTAAATGTTTAACGTTTTTGTTTCAACATTTTCAAAGCAGTTCTCCCACTCACTTGTTCGGGTGTAAGACTCGTGACACGTGCGGGCGATCTCAGCCGCCAGTTCCATCTGGTGACCCGTCTTATCATCGGGGGCTCCGTCCGCCCCTAAAGCGATCAATAACTAGAAAATGTATTAACACACAGATTAAAAATGTATATATATTAATTTATTTTTACATTTGTTTATTTATTGCTAGAAATGTTTAAAATTTTTCTTTCAACATTTTCAAAGCAGTTCTCCCACTCACTTGTCCGGGCGTAAGACTCGTGACACGTGCGGGCGATCTCAGCCGCCAGTTCCATCTGGTGACCCGTCTTATCATCGGGGGCTCCGTCCGCCCCTAAAGCGATCATACCACCGGCGAAGCAGGTCAGGTGACCCATCTTATGCTCCAGGAGTCCACCTTTCCATTCAGCGATATACGTCAACCCTCCGCTTGACTTACGGATCAAATTCTTCTCAATCGCCTGCACGCAGAACAAAAAATGAAAACAAGAGATCACTTTAAATGGTTTTTAATGTCAATTTCTTCTCTCTGTAGTTATTCATACTGTGTGGGTTAAAAGGAACTTTGTCCTTGTTTGCATTTGTTTTGTCTGCCTAACACAAAGAGAGACAATTCAAGGCTTCAGAGTGATTTCATTCTCTCAAAAGCGTCATCCGAACTGTTCACGGCCCGAAGTAAGTTAGATCATAGCAGAGATCAGGGTCACAGCTGTGTGCCAGCGTTGTGTATTTACAGAAGCGTCGCACACATGGGAAATGAGATTCTTATCTGTCTGGAAAAAGGCCTCTGTGCATTTGAATGGAAAACTGGAGATGTTCATCACCATGATACCAAAGGAAAATAAGAAAATAAGTAAAGCGTTTGACTCACTCTTTTTTTCTTACATCACTCTCTTTGTTCTTCTATTTCATCATAAATATGGCACCAGTTTTGTGGAGAAACTAAAAGTAGTAACAGAACTAGCATATCTTTTTTCAGTATCTTGAATACAATAATGTACTGATGTAGTGATTATGGTAACAAGTAGCAGCATAGATGCTTGTTTTGTGTAACTGCATTACAGAGTAAGATGAGTAAATAATCAAACATCTCCTAGAATGTGCTCTCTGATTCAAGCATTCGATTCTGGATCTTATATCACTCTGAAGGGTTTATACTGCGATCATGACAGACAGTGCATTACCCTGTGTATTACTACTGTGCCAATGTACATATCAATGGACATAAAAATATTGATTTGAGTTATTTTTTTGAATTATTTTATTATCCAAAAAGAAAAAGAGTGCAGAATGATACATGAAACCAAAGTAGACCACAGCTACTGGAGTAACTACTCTCCTGCAACAGAACAGGGAAAAATACATCACTACTGTAAGGTGGGTTTGGCAAACTTAAGCCTTATAACCTTAAAAATGGAAAAAATGTCTCTGAATCCAGTTTTTTTTTTTTTTTAGTGAAAATGTCCAGATTCACCTCAAAGTTTTTGCATACAAATAAATTGTATAACTAAAAAAGTAATGAAAGTAAAAATGTAAGTAAAAATTCAAATCAGTGCTGTTATTGTTAATTAAAAATAAAGCTATTAAAAAAATCATTTTTGTAACTAAATTAAAACTGAAAAGATACAGTAATAATTACTACAGCAGTATATTAAATAATAAAACAAATTAAATAATTAAAAGAACTACAGTACCAAGACATATACATTATTTATATATAAATAATTGTAGAATATATAATGAATATTTATAAATCATTTAAATAATATTTATAAAATGTAAAATCTTTTTTTTCAAATGACATTAATGATTGGTAGACTTTTTCAAGCTTACCATAATCTTGGAAATAATATAAGAAATCAACTGCCTGAATGCCAGTTTGTAGCTTGTAAAGCAGCTTCCCCAACAATGTTTGCAACAAAAATTTAAACTTTTGTATTTAGCGCTGCTCTAACAAACTGAACTCAATCTGCCGCGATTCGTCAACAGTCATTGCCGTAACGTCCTTATGTTTCCCAACGGTGCAAATAATCGAATGCTACAGCTGAGAGGTGTGGATGGAAGGAGGTGATTGAGCAGCCTATCCATGGTTAGTGAGATAAATTAGGTGAAATCAGGTGGTACAGAGTGAGTTAAAGGCCTGAAAAAGAGCTTTCTGTAGTGGTAATGAATCCCTGGGTAAAATGGTGGACAGAATGGCCGTTCTCTGAAGGTGACCGTCATAATGCACTTTTCTTTAGCTGGATGATTGGCCTGGAGATCAAAGTGTGTGTGTGTGTTCGAGTGACTCCAGGGAGGCACCCAGAGGGACAGCATTATCTTAGGCAGGTTGTGATGGTCCTCTCTAATGAAAGTGAGGATTGAGTTTGTGGTCTGTAACAATCAGTCTGCACCAGCTTTCCAAAGCTCTCACGGACGGCGCTGATGGCAGCTTACACACACACACACACACACACACTTTACTTTCCTACAGTCAGACACTATAAAGACGAAATTCCAACTCACAAACTCAAAACCTGCAGAGGACAAATTTTCAGTTCAAGAACAACAGACTAAAATTTGCAATGCAAAAATCTTCAAAATAAATACAGGAACAACTGGACACTTGAAACTTGAGGGCAAAAAACATACAACAATATTCACATTGGAAAAAACTGGACACTTGAAACCTGAGGGCGAAAAACATACAAACCTACAGAACAACCACTTCCGTTATTCTAGTTAATAAACTTTAGTCTATGTTAAATTTAATTTGTGAATGATAAATAAGCTGTGAGGTTAAAAATTTATTCTCTACAAATATCTGAAAATAATGTGTGTGAAAATTAAAATTCATTTGTGTATTAACTGTTTTTAGTGGAGTACTGGTCTAAGTTTAGAATAAAAACAGAAAAACGTATACCTAAAAAAGGTATTCTACAATTCAGGAAATAAATAGGCATAACTAGTCAAAATTATGTAATTTTGTTTTATTGGACTAATGTATGTCTTATCTTTGCATGAACTGCAATTCAGTAAATTCCACTTCCCGTCATTCCAATTCCACATCCTGTGGGACGTGGCCAATTCAATTTAGAATTCACATTCATGAACTGAAAGGGACCCAATTCTCAAATTCAGTATTTCACTCAACCCTGGTATCAACTCGAACCATGACTGTGTTGGTACTGAGCTCCTATTAGACACTGAAGTACTCTGGATCCTCATTATTTTGCTGACACAAGTAACTTTAGATAGCAAGCATCCTCCAAAAACAAGGATGTCAAGGATGCTCTTGTCTAGTCAGCATTTGATCAAATGGCCAGTAGAGTGTAACATTTCTCTGGGCTTCATCTTTTTCTGTAACATTGGTCTTTACCTGCAGGGCATCATAGTAAAGCTTCTTTCCCTCCTCGTCAGTTTTGTCTGACATGAGCCAGGCCTTCAGCAGGTACTCATAGAAACTGTCCCCCAAGCCTCCAACTGAGACGTGATCTGCAACACAGCAAAAACAGCAGAGTGAGAGAAAAATCTCTTCCTTCATTCATGTGCCAGCATAATAGTCTGCTGTGGGACTGCTTTAAACAGAATAACACAAATTATTAAGCATAAACATGCACACACACACACACGCAGTACAAGAGATCTATAGAGAAGCGCTCTCATCTCAGCATTTTACAATGGCCATTAGATTGCTTAATGATGATATTAAGGAGGTACATTACCCATGTTAAAATAGATGACCCTAGCAACCACCTGTAACATCCTAGTGGCCAATAAGAACACCCTAGCAACCACCCAAAACACCCTAACAACCACTGGAACATCCTAGTGACCACTTAGTATATACTAGCAAACACTTAGAATACCCTAGCAACCACTTAGAATATCCTAGCAACAACTAAAATGCCTTAGTGGCCAATAAGAACACCCTAACAACCACCTAGAACACCACTGTAAGCACTTAGAACACCATAGTAACCACCCAGAGCACCATTGCAACCACCAAAAGCTCCCTAGCAACCACTTAGAACAGCCTAGCAACCTAAGAACACCTTAACATCACAGAGGTGTGTATGGGTAAGCACCACTCACATTTTCTAAAGAAAGTGTTAAAATCTAGCAAATTATTTAAATGAGATTTTAGTTAAAGGAGTCATATGATGTTGCTAAAAAGAACATTATTTGTGTATTTGGTGTAATGAAATGTGTTTATGTGGTTTAAGGTTAAAAAAACACATTATTTTCCACATACTGTACATTATTGTTTCTCCTCTATGCCCCGCCTTTCTGAAATGCGTCGA